TATGACTCTTATCCTAGTTCTGCGCTGGGGGTCTTAGGAAGCGGCCATTGTTATTTTTAGAGGCCTAATAGTCTGACCAGGGCAAAGGGTATCTGGGAAAAGCAGATCTGGTGACTTCCTCTTTCAGCCATTTCCCCCTTTGTTGGAGGCAGTAACCTGCCTAGTCCACAGGCATATTTTCTTCATACTGGAGACTCCTTGCCTTTTGCACCCACATCATTAAAGGAAGTGTCTTCTACCCTGAAAACACTGGAGTGGTGCACAGGGAGGACACACCCTGTGCTGGGCTGGGTTCAGTCAGTAAGCAGTGAATGTCTGGGGCACTGAATGCTGGCTGTTCATCAGTGGTCAAGGATCCTAAATTGAGCTGTGTTTGGGAAGTGTTGAGAGCATGGCATGTGGGGGCAGGTGTGGCCTGAAAAGGTCAATAGGAGTAAATAGACTATAAAGGGCATTGAATACTGGGCAGTAAAGCAATGGTGATAGGCTTAGGTGTCATAAAGGGTCCAGGGCTCTGAGTGGACTAAACAGGTTGCAGGGTTGTAGTCAAGTCATCTTTGGGATCTGGTCACACCCACACCTTACTAGGCTGTGACTGGAATTGTGTGCTATTTCAGGATAGCTGTCACCAGTGCCAGCTCCCAGCTTTGCTAGGGCTCTCCAGATGATCTACCCTCTGGAACTTTCTTGGACTTTGGCTTTTAGCAAGGCCTAGGGACCTTAGTAGTCCAGCAGGTACCACTAAGCTTCTCACAACTGTTTCTGTTGATGGCTTCCCTCCTACAACCGTACCTTAGACTGCCTTGTCTGGATTCAGTTCAGTTGCCCCTGTGCTATCTTGTTTCCCACTTCCTCTCTCAGGGAGAACAAGGCCGTCTCTGTGTGTGTGTGTGTGTGTGTGTGTGTGTGTGTGTTTTGTAGCCTGGGATGACTTAAATAGAAGTTTAGGCCTTAAGGATTTCTATCTAATGACAGGGCTGTAGTCTTGGCCAAATTAAAAAAAAAAAAATTTAGTTTTAGATGGACACAATATTTTTATTTTACACTTATGTTGTGCTGAGGATTGAACCCAGTGCCTCATGCATGCTAGGTGAGCACTCTACCACTGAGCCACAATCCCAGCCCAAATTTTAGTGGTTTGAGAAAACTCAGAGGGGTCTCCAAGCTCCTTCTAGTCAGAGCTCTTATTTGGATCCATTAACTATAGAAGCAAGAAAAAAAGAAAAGAAACCCTGTATGTGCTTGTGGGGGATGGTTCAGGTTAAGATCTTATTTGTCAGATAAGGAAACTGAAGCTTAGCAGGGGGAAGTGACTTTGCCCTAAAGCCCCTTCCAATAATCTGAATGGCCTAGGAGGAAGTTCCAGTGAAGATTTATTTTATCTGGAGTTTGGGAGATTGTTAGGGGCCTCCCCACAAACATGTCAGGCCTCTCCCAAGTCCCCCACAGGGTATGTACCCATAGGCTTTGTATGTGCCCTACAACAGTAATAGCTGATCTGCATGAAGATGATACCCTGGCTTCTATGTCAAGGTCCCTGCTTTCTGACTTTCCTGCCCTGTGCTTTAATTTGCAGAGTGGAACTGCAGAGGTCTGCCATTATGTCCATGGCTCTGCAGAGAGGAGGCAGTCCTGCTGTAGACTTGAAGGTTCTTGGGGGTCTCCAGCTTGCCAGAGTTCACAGATGTCCTTTGTACCCCCACAGTGCCTGGTGATTTGGGTAACCAATTGGAAGCAAAGCTGGACAAGCCCTCGGTAGTGCACTACCTTTGTTCCAAGAGGACCGACAGCTACTTCACTCTCTGGCTGAACCTCGAACTGCTGCTGCCTGTCATCATTGACTGCTGGATTGACAATATCAGGTGGGGGCTGGGGCACACAGACAGGTACCACTCACCCGTGGGGCCCAGGAAGGCCTCCAGAGTCCATTTCCTTCTCATCTGTATCTCAAGAGACCTTGAGGTCAGTGACCTCTCCCTCCCTAGGCCCTCAATCTGTTCTGATCTGATCTGTCAGCCACCTCTGCACTCTGCTAGGAAGAACTCTCTTCCCCTTTCTGTTGCTCTTGTCCTTCCTCTCTCCAGTTTAGCCCTTAGTGTTCAGACCTTACACATAGTTTCTATGCCTCGTCCAGCCCCTATCTATGGCCCCACTGTTCCCTTTGTCTGGGTCTTGGTCACAACTGCCTCTGTAGCTGCTTGTTCTTCCTAGGATATGCTGTGTCTCCATGTCTTTGTACATGCTGTTTTTTCCACATGGAATTTACTTTCATGGAATTTATACTTTCATCTGATAAATTCTCTCCCATTTACCCTTGAAAACCTGACCGTAGTTCCTTTATGAAATCTCTCCTGCCAATCCTTCCCCAGGCCGCATGAATGCTTCCTTTAACCATCAAGTGCCAAACTATGTTAAAAGGATGATTCCCCAAAATTAAATATAGGCACTGTACATTTTGTATACAGTCTTATGCCACATTCAATCCCAGACTGCATTTGTAATGGTGGTTTCATAAGATTATAATGGAGCTAAAAAAAATACTGTCACCTAGTGATGTAACCATTTAACCTAATAATGAAATGTATTATGCATCTTTTATGGTGGTGCTGGTGTAAATAACCCAGTGCGTAATACTTTTTTGGGGGGGCGGGGGTACTGGGGATTGAACTCAGGGGCACTGAACCACTGAGTCCCAGCCCTATTTTGTATGTCATTTAGAGACAGGGTCTCACCTCGCTTTTGCTGAGGCTGGCTTGAACTTGTGATCCTCCTGCCTCAGCTTCCTGAGTCACATAATACTTGATAATAATAGTAAACCAGGAGCTGGGGTTGTGGCTCAGGAATAGCGCTTGTCTAGAATGCGTAAAGCACTGGGTTTAATCCTCAGCACCACGTTAAAAAAAAAATAAATGTATTGTTTCCACCTACAACTAAAAATTTAAAAATGTGAAAAAAATAATTATAGTAAAAGTAAACCACTATATTACTGATTTATGTATTTACTTACACAATATTTTATTGTTATTTTAGAGTGTACTCATACTTATTAAAAGAAAGGGGGGGTTACTGCAAAATAATATGCCATGTTAATGTACTCTATGATGTTGCTTTAGTTAGCTTTTTTGTTGCTGTGACCAGAAGACCTGGAAAGAACAATTAGAGGAGGAAAAGTTTATTTTGGCGCTCAGTTTCAGAGGTCTCAGCTCATAGATAGCTGACTCCATTGCTCTTGGCCTGAGGTGAGGCAGAACATCATGGTGGAAGTGTGTGGTGGAAGAAAGTAGCGGGGAGTATGGCACCAGGAAGCAGAGATAGAGAGTGCTCTAGGGCTGGGGATGTGGTTCAAGTGGTAGTGAGCTCGCCTGGCATGCGTGCCGCCCGGGTTCGATCCTCAGCACCACATACAAAGATGTTGTGTCCGCCGAAAACTTTAAAAAAAAATAAATATTAAAAAAAAAAAAAGAGAGAGAGAGAGTGCCCTACTTAGAAGGGACAAAATATATACCTGGTGGCTGGGATTCTATTTCAGTGGTAGAGCACTTGCCTAGCACGTATGAGACACTAGGTTCAATTCTCAGCATTACATAAAAAAATAAAGAAAGATATGTGTCCATCTACAACTAAAAAATTTAAAAATATATATATATATATGTGTATATATATATATATATATTAGGTTATGCTTATGGCCTAATCAGTTCACCTCTGAAATTTGTTGCATTGCCTCATACGTGAGCTTTCTAGGGATAACTCATATGTAATCATAACAGATCACACAATGAAATTGCCAAATGACCCATTTCTCAGAATGTTTTGGTACTGGGCATTGATCCTCCTGCCTCAGCATCTCAAGTCACTGGTTTACAGGTAACACCACACTCAGTGAACGAGTGCTGTTTTTAAACTTGCTTTCCAGGGACTGGAGGTTTGGCTACTAAGTGTTTCCCTGACCTGTACAAGGTCCTGGGTTCCATCCTCAACACCTCAAAACAAGACTAAGATTTTCTTAGTTCTGGACTAAGGAAATCTGGAAACTCAAAAAAGTTACAAAATTGACTACTCACTCAGCTAATAAGTGGCAAAATCAGAATTCAAACTCAGAAATTGTGTGACTCCAGGTTAATGTTCCCTCCCACACTGACTTCCCTGAGGGCAGGGATTATAACTGTCTTTATAGCAGTAGAAGCAAGAACACTGATGCTCAATAAACTTTCACGAATTTAAAGTTTTCCCCAGATACCTACTGGCTACTTTTCCAGGTACCCGGCTTTCCCTGTTTATGTTGCCTGCTTTGTTCACTATTTTTTCCTCAGTGTCTGATTTGTGTGTGATCAGGGTTATTTCTGGGCTGTTGATCTTCATTTCTATTTTTGTACTGAAGACATGGCCTTAGGTACTGCCAACTGGAGGTGTGGGTGGTTACTGAGAGGGGCTTGTTTGCCTTTGTTGAGCCTCTGACCTGTTTAGATTTTTAAACAAAACTGCTTTGGTTTCTTTTTTATTTTATTTTTTTCCCCTTTGGATGTCAGGGATTGAACTCAGGGGCACTCAACCACTGAGCCACATCCCCAGCCCTTTTTTGTATTTTATTTAGATACAGGGTCTCACCAAGTTGCTTAGCACCTTGCTTTTGCTGAGGCTGGCTTTGAAGTCATGATCCTCCTGTCTTAGCCTGCTGAACCACTGGGATTATAGGCGTGTTCACCACTCCTGGCTGATTTTCTTGTTTCTTTAAATTTTTTTAAGTTGTTGATGGACTTTTATTTTATTATTTATTTATATACAGTGCTGAGAATCAAACCCAGTGCCTCACACATGCTAGGCAAATGCTTTACCGCTGAGCTACAACCCCAGCCCCTGCTTTGATTTTCTAGAACAATTTTCTGCACTTTGTTGGATGGCTTTTGGGATAATCTATAGAATGAGGAGAATGGGCCCCTAGGACCTATTATTTGGGTCAGTGCTGGGGATCTTGTCAGCTTTTTGTGATCCCTGTCCCCCAACATCCCCCCATTCATAATATAGGCCAGGTACAAGGCCTGGGCTGAGGTATATAGAGGACAGGTTTACTCTTCTTCCACTTTGTATACAGTCAGTGTAAGAATACAGTCTGTGGTAAGTACCAGAAAGCCTCTGTGGCTGATCTTTAAGGGGGTGGGTGGTAACTTCACATTTTCTTGGGCATCAAGGCCACCGTAGGAGTCCTAGCCTGGCACAAGACTTTTCTTCTATCTTGCCCCCAACCCCACATTCCCATCATTCCTCTAAGCCGTCCCAGCTCCCTACCTGAAGCAGAGGGTAGAGCAGCCATGTATTCAGTCCTGAAGTGTGGGGGGGTCCCTCGTGTCTGGTTCTGTTTTGCACTGTAGCTATAGAAATTATCTATATCAATAGAAAATTAACAAAAGGGGTGTTAGGGATATCAAGCAACTGGCATACATGTCATGGTTTTAGGAGTTTGTTGGCCAAAACCTGTGTGTTATAGTCACTGGCAGGTGAAATATAGATATATGCAATATCTATATCTACCCATCTATATAGCTCCATCCATCTATATCCTTGGGATACTAAGCAAGTCATTTGAACATGGTTCATTCCTGTCTTCTGTTGATGGTATGATTGGGATGAGGCTGGCTACTGGGTCTAATGCCTAAAGCAAGAGGGACCTAGCTATACCCACATGAGTCTGCACAAGGCTTTTCTTCTGTCTCTTTATCTGGCCATGACATTCCTCTGGGTTTTGTCTACCTTCCTATATTCCTACCCTCCTAGCAGCTACAGTCATAAGGCCCTGAGGTGGCGTCCCTGTCTGATTCCGTTATGTGCTATACTCACCATCTCTTTTGCCCTGTGATGCATTGTTGGGTAGCAAGAGCTAGATCTACAGCGAGGGAGTGATGGGAGCCTGCAAGATGGGCTGCCTTCTGGAGTCAAGTGTGAAGTTCACAGCAGAGCTAGGACTGGCACTTCCTTCTGACTGGTCCAGGACCTCATTCTAGGGTAAATGACATTAGAGAGAAGGGAATTTTGCTTTGACATGAGTCCTGTGGTCAGTCTTTGGTGTAAGCCTCAGTGAGGGATTCTTGTTTGGATGTGGTTATTTTTTTTTAATATTTATTTTTTAGTTGTAGGAGGACACAATATCTTTATTTCATTTTTTTTTTTTTTAATGTGGTGCTGAGGTTTGAATCTAGTGTCTCACGCATGTTAGACAAGCACTCTACCCCCCTACCACAACCTCAGCCCCCTGGATGTGGTTATTCTGATCCATGCTTTATAAACATGCTTTGTTACTTTTTGGTCTTTTTTTTTTTTACATATAACTAAACCCTGGGGATGAGAAGGGATTATGACTCAGGTCCCCGTATCAGTTTCCTCATTTTGTTTTTTGGTGCCAAGGTTCAAACAACAGGGCCTTGTGTGTGCTAAGCAAGCCAGGCTTTCTTATGGTAGTTGGAGATTTAGCTCTGCCATTGAGCCATATTTTCTGCCCCACAGGGCAGTATTGGGACACACCAAGCTTAATGTCACCTCTGGATCACCAGATCACTATTCTCTCCCAACAGGCTGATTTACAACAGAACATCCCGGGCCACCCAGTTTCCTGATGGTGTGGATGTGCGTGTCCCTGGTTTTGGGAAGACCTTCTCATTGGAGTTCCTGGACCCCAGCAAAAGCAGTGTGGGTATGTAGCTCCTGGGGCTGGGGCTAGAGCCTTTGCTGGACTCCTCAAGTTGGAGGAACCCCACTGGTTTGAAGGGGTAACCTGTGAGCTATCTGATCAGTGTGGGCACAGAGCTCTTTACTCCTCCTCCAGAGATCCATTTGGGAGACATCACAGTCTTTGTGTCAGTAGTGGTGTGGGTGTCTGGTGCTAGCTGTACCTTCTCTAATCTTGCATATTTTTGTCTATAGGTTCCTATTTCCACACCATGGTGGAGAGCCTTGTAGGCTGGGGCTACACACAGGGAGAAGATGTCCGAGGGGCCCCCTATGACTGGCGCCGAGCCCCAAGTAAGAAGTCACCCTCATTCCTTCCTCAAGGTTCTGGGAGGTGGGCAGAAGGCAATCATAGCTGCCATAGGTCTTGAGCTCTCAGCCCTGGGCTCTCCCCTATCTCTGGGCCCCTGTGGTCACACCAATACCCCTGGTCAATCTTGTCCTATTCTTCCCCATCCCTTATCCCAGGACCTCTGGGCCTCTGAACCCTGGGGAGGGTTGATAGATAAGACTGATGGGAAAAGGGGCCCCTTTATCCTCCCTTTATATAAGCTGGTGGGGAACCAGACTGCTTCCATTTGGGTTTTAGCACTCTCCCCACCCTCTAGTCCTGGGTCTGGCCTGAAGAATGGTCAGTGGTGCAAGCCCCAGGACCCTTCCTGCCTGACCCCTGCTTGGCTCTGGCCTGCAGATGAAAACGGGCCCTACTTCCTGGCCCTCCGAGAGATGATCGAGGAGATGTACCAGCTGTATGGGGGCCCTGTGGTACTGGTTGCCCACAGTATGGGCAACATGTACACACTCTACTTTCTGCAGCGGCAACCACAGGCCTGGAAGGACAAGTATATCCGTGCTTTTGTGTCACTGGGAGCTCCCTGGGGGGGCGTGGCCAAGACCCTGCGCGTCCTGGCCTCAGGTAAGACCTACCTGGCCCAGTGTGGGTGGCTAGTCCCAGGAATGCCTCCTTTCTCTCCTTCTTGCTAGGCCAACACCCTTCATGTCACTTCCTTGGTTCAGTGCCTTTCTTTCTCCAGAGCAACATTCCTTTTCAAATATCTTTTTTTTTTTTTCTAAAAGAGGATCTAATACTACTACTAATTTCACATCTTTAATTGATAGCCCTTGTAATCTGTGTTTCTCACACCTTGTATTTGGAGAGGCACAACTGCTGTCCTCACAGCCACTTGCTTGTGCATATACACCACAAACATATACATGCACACGCATTGCTAGGTCTGGCTGCTGAACTTGGTTTGTCCCAAAGGTCTTTGGAGTACCTTCTCATTCCCCCTCGCCTGCATCCTCACTTCTTCATCTTCACCTGTGCCCCAGAGAAGGAAGGCTGGACCACCATTTCCTGTTTATGAGTTGTACCTCCATCTGTGGGCAGGGGGGGAGCCTCTATGGGTAATGCAGGGAGGAAGCAGGTGCAGATCTGGCTGGGCCTGCTTGTCTTGGCAGTTGGGAAAGTCATCACCTTATTGGTTCCTCCGTAATCCACTTGCCTTTTTATGACTGTCAGAACTTTCTAGTTATAGCCATGGGGTGGGGCTTCCTGCTTTAGGAAGAAGTTTCTCTCCCTTTGCCAGGACTCTGTGGGAGCCCTGAGGACCTTCACTTTGGGGACTGAGCCAGGACCATGCCAGGCTTCCTCCAGTCATTAGCACTGTCTGACTGCTTGGTCAACTATTCATTATGATTGGGTCAGGCCCAGCACCTGTCTCAGTGTCCTGAGTTGTCTGGATAATGAGGTCATGACTCAGACATTCAGGACTGGGTGCCATGATGGAGTTCAGGCCCCAGCCCATTTCAGAGTTTCCTCCTTTTCCTCAGATGCTAGAAAATTGTCGTCAGCACTGGCAGTCCAGGAGTGGGGGGTGAGATGTGGGAAGGTGAACCCCTAGGGGCATCCCTTTCCTCAGAATCTTATAGAAGTCCACAGCAGGCAGAGCTAAGGTCATATGGTTTCTGTTTTCAGATATTGTGGCCCCTGTCTCCAAGTTCAGATCACCCCTAGAGGTCTCACTGGCTGATGGGTGTGTTTGTGGTGTTACATTCCAGTAGGTGAAGGTCTGACTCTGTCTGTAGCTTCCCCTCCTGCCCTGTCTCCAATATCATGGCCACCAGATCAGTGCACAGGCAGGTAGGTGGGATGAGATCAGGCTGGCTGAATTCTGTTCTGAGCTTAGGAAGAAAACAACATGTATATAGTTCAATGTGATAGAGAGGACCTATTGCTTCACCTTAGACAAAGCCAGTGCCCACAGGTGTGGTGATAACATGTTTGGAGGAGGGTACCAGTTACAAGTGAGGAAATATAATAAATCACTAGGAAGAAGGGGAGAAGGGGAGATGGTGAATTGCCTAAATCCCTTGTGAGGAAATGCAAAAGAAACAAAACAAACAACAACAAAAACAAACAAACAAAACAAAAAACCCCACAAAGTTTGGATTCGCTTCCTAAATAAATGTAGCAAAAATAAAGGGAAATAATATCTTAGCTACGTGAGAGGCTGAGGCAGGAGAATCAAAAGTTTAAGGGCTGGGATTGTGGCTCAGTGGTAGAGCGCTGGCCTAGCACGCGCAAGACCCGGGTTTGATCCTCAGCACCACAAAAAAATAAAGGCATTGTGTTGTGTCCATCTACGCCTAATAAATAAATAAATAAATAAATATTTAAAAAAAAAAAAGTTCAAGGGAAGCCTGAATGTAACTCTGGTAGAACACATGTGGGAGACCCTGAATTAAATCCCCAGTACCAGAAAAAAAGGGGGTGGTGGTGGAAGGGGAACCATAAAAGCTAATGTAGAAGTGGCTGGGGATGTAGCTCAGTTGGTAGAGTGCTTGCCTTGCATGCACAAGGCCCTGAATTCAACCCTGAGTTCCACCAAAAAAAAAAAAAAAGCTAATGTCAGGATGATGATTAACAGTGTAGAGATTCCAGAGTATTGACTGGGCCATTGGCTGGGATCCAGCAGAGGACATGGTCCTGAACCTGCTGCCCATCCTATTTGTGTTCATCAGCACAGAACTGATTGAAGTCCTCTCCCTGCAGGAGACAACAACCGCATCCCTGTCATTGGGCCTCTGAAGATCCGGGAGCAGCAGCGGTCTGCAGTCTCCACCAGCTGGCTACTGCCCTACAATCATACCTGGTCACCTGAGAAGGTGTTTGTACACACACCTACAACCAACTACACACTGCGAGATTATCAACGGTTCTTCCAGGACATTGGTTTTGAAGATGGCTGGCTCATGCGGCAGGACACAGAGGGGCTGGTTGAAGCCATGGTGCCACCTGGTGTTCAGCTGCACTGCCTTTATGGCACTGGTGTCCCCACACCAGACTCCTTCTACTATGAGAACTTCCCTGATCGCGACCCTAAAATCTGCTTTGGTGATGGTGATGGCA